ATCTATATAATTTTAATTAGCTTTTAATTAGGATTAGATTAGCATAAGACCCTAATCACCCCCCCCCCTCTAGGGTCTAACAAACGCCAGTCAATGCGTTGCGATGAAAAAGTCAACGTTAGGCGATCCGAAACCCTAGGTCAACGCCGGTCAACGCTAGTCAACGCGTAACAGTAGGTCAACGCCAGTCAACGCGTTGCGACCAAAAGTCAACGTCAGGTGATCCAAAACCCTAGGTCAACGACGGTCAATGCGTAACCCTAGGTCAACGCCAGTCAATGCGTTGTGATGAAAAAGTCAAGGTCAGGCGATTCGAAACCCTAGGTCAACGTCGGTCAACGCATAACCCTAGGTCAACACCAGTCGATGCGTTGTGATGAAAAAGTCAACACCAGGCAATCCGAAACCCTAGGTCAACGTCGGTCAACGCGTAACCCTAGGTCCACACCAATCAACGCGTTGCAATAAAAAAAGTTAATGTGACAGAGATAGTCAGTTCTGAGTCAACTTAACAACACGAACCAAACTCAACTCATCAGTTTTAGATTCGAGACTTCAACGACAGCCAGATGATAAACTCAGCACCAGAAGAACTTCAGCTATTCGTTAAAATATCGAAAAGACTGAAAATCAAAGGAGTCAAGAATTGAAGCTAACTACAGCTCCTATACGCCGACCGAAGGCTGGACCAATCACATCCAAAGTATTCCAGGCTCTTCTATAAAAGAAACGCGACTGAAACACTTTGGAGGGGGTATCTGTAGGCATTAAAAATTACCTATAGCTCTCCACAAATAGCTTGAAGCTAAGAGAAGATGATGAACATCACTATCCAAGTCACGGAAGCTTGATTGACGTTGACGAATGCTTGAAATGAATCGGCGAACTTTGTGAAGCAATGGAGTTTCAGAATAACGAGGATATGAACTGATCAGGAACCTCGTGTCTCTTACAAAAGGCAAAACGCCCTTCATGTCTCATTTATTCCATAGATGATCCAATCACGAGAGCCTGTAGATCTTCTCATCGGCTTTCCAACGTATCTTGAATCATGTAAATCCGAGTTTGGAAGAGGAAAATACGGCGAATATAAAAACAGCGCGCAACACGGACTGTCTCAGCATAAGCTAAGACACCCCGAGGTGTCTCGGACCAATCGAGACACCCCAAGGTGTCTCGGCCTTGCTAAGACGCCCGAGGGTGTCTCAGGCCCTAAAAAGTGGTTCTTTTGCGGTTTTAACCGCCTGAATTCCCCGGAGCCTATAAATACAGCCCCAGGACCTTTATTTTTTGAGATCTGGAATTTTGGAGAATAGGCGAAGCCCTGTCGAACTAAAGATTGATCAAGTTCTTCAGCACAGGAGAGAAAGTTTCTTCAGATCTACATCGCTCGTGTCCGTTCCTTAGGATTATCCCGTTGCGGTAATCTTAAGAAGAGCAATTATCTCGCCGTTGTCGAGATAAGCGCTTCTGCTTCTAGATTCCTTCACGGATCGACGAAGTCTTGGATCTGATCTAATTGTCAGGTGGTCCACGGATATTGACATCCCCGTCATCGGCCAAAAACCCACGCAAGTAAGAGACGACGAACGGATCTTGTGTTATTTTCGAGAGAGAGTTGTAATTCCTTTATTTCTTTCTTTTGTTGATTATCTGAATTCTTTGTAAACGACTAAAGTTATAATGAATTTAGTAATAAAGGAAACTTTCTGTGAAAACACTCATATGTATCAATATGATCTTTGTGGTCGTTTTGGTCATTTGGCCAAGTATTGTTTTGATTTAAAAAAAAATCATGTTTGCCAAATGTTTCTAGTAGACCACATATTTTTAAATGTGATGTTTGTGGTAGATATGGTCACTTAGGAAAGTTTTGTTTTGATAATGTGTCACATTTGCAAAGAGTTTCAAATAATTTATGTTTGTTTGCAAATGATTCCCGTGCACGAGCTAATGATCCACAAAAACAAATGGATCTCTTTCATTGCACAAATTACAATCGGAAGGATCATTTGAGTGATTATTGCTTTGACCGTGTTAGTGCACTACATGCGCCCAAGAGGGTTCATAACCCTAGGGCTTTGAGCTTAAAAGATAGGGGTCATGTCCCTAAATCTCTTGGTACCAAGAATTCTTGGGTACCAAAACAAATTTGAATTTTAAAACCAAGTATTTTAGTGTTTTTCTTTTTTCTTTTCTTGGTTTTGAAAATTATGTTTTAAGATCTTTTGGTTATGAAAACAATTTTTCTTTTATCAAATCTTTTGTTTTCATGATTATTAGTTTTAATTTTGATAAGAGGTTTGTATTTATATAACCCTCTGGGTTTATTGGGTGTTTATTCCCAAATCATGTTTACCGGATGCTTAAATATTTATATGGGTTGTTACTAGCTCAAGAGCTAGATATAGTTACCTCTCTTGATTTTTGAAAATCAATGATGATTTAACTTTATACTTTTAAAGATGATTTTTTCCATAGTTCATGATTCTTGTATGTTTTGTAATCTTATTTTTGAACTATGAAAATTTTGTTTTGATTTGTTCATTTGAATTCATTATATAGCACAAATAGATGATTGAAATTTCATATATGCTTTATAATGTATTCTATAAGTGCTTTGATCAAGTTCTACAAAGAAAGTTCTATTTATGGATCAAACATTGTTTTTATATAAACTTTGATTTATGATTTCTTTTGGTTGATTAGTTTTTATTTGAAAACTTTTTGCATGATTCTCATGTTCTTCTTCTTTTGTTTTCATAAATCTATTCTTTTATATGACTTTTATATTTTTTGTGTTAATGAGACACTATTTTTATTTTGACATATTTATATGTGTTCTCATTGTCTTTTTGTATGTGAGTTGTGTTTAGCATGTTTCTTACTTGCTCACATATGCATGTCTTAGCATTCATTGCATATATTCATTAAGGCATTTTGATAGGGGGAGCAATCCCTATATCTTTCTATGTGTTATACTCACCCATGCATATTGATAGGGGAGCTTTCGCTCTCTTCATACCTTTGTCCCCTTTTTGATGTTGTCAAATGGGGAGAAATATTGTGAGTATATTCTTTCTTGTTTATATGCATGTGAATTATAATTTATATATTAATTTCCTTTCATGCATATATCCTTTTTGTAAATTGTTTGTCATCATCAAAAGGGGGAGATTGTTGGCCTTCTTGTTTTGATGATGTTTAACAAATAATTTACTTCTAATATTATTTGTTTAGTGTTTGTATTTTCGTATTTATTCTAGGCAAACAACGAGTTAGAGGATGGATGGAATTGCGCATTTACGATCATATCCAATGGAGGTTGGCGGAATTGTGGAGTGAAGCCTATGCAATTCAAATTAAAGATCCAAGTTCAAGCTTCTTCCGCAAGTGTACCAAGTCAAGCTTATTGAAGATCAAGATCAAGCTTAGGTAATATATACACTTTTGTTTGTTTCATATTCTATTGTATTTAGAAAAATATTATGTTTATGGATTAAAGACTTATTCACACTATTTTCATATCTTGTATAATGTCTAAAAATCCATTCTAAAGTATTTCCAAGTTGTTTGAACTCGTTTTTGGAAAAATCAAGTTTTTTTGTTCATGTATGTGCATGTGTCCGTGCATGTTTTTACAAAAATGATGCGTTTTCATAATTGCAAAATACGATTTGAAAAAAAAATTTGTTTACATGTTTATCATCATATATACAAACATTTTCCCAAGTTTTACTATTTTTGGAGTTGTTTTGTTATTTTCAATTGAATTTACAAAACAGTATTTTCTATAGTTTATTCAGAAATTATATATCTATGTTCAAACATTTATTTCTCTCAACTGGGAAGTGATATTTCATAAATCCTTTCTCTATAATGTTCAACTACATATCTAGAACCTTACTTCAAAATTTCATGATTTTTGGAGTTGATTTACTACATTTAATTGATTTTAAAAATTTAGATACGCAAATTTCCAAAATCTGTCAAAACCTGAAATTGTTTGTATTTCTTCTACCCTATATATACCCTATTGTATTTATCATTTCATATACAATGAGAATGTTTTAAAAAAGTTTTAGAATGTTTTAACAAGAGTTTAAGTTTTGTTTAAAGTTTGTTTAAAAAGCTTTTAAGCAATTGAGTTTAGTTGATTTTATTTCACTCATTGTTTACACACACCCACTTGAGCTTATTGTATTTTTATACATAGTATATTTGGGTTGGTGAGAGTTGTAACAATTGAGTATGAGCTTTCATTGTGTTCTCATCTATTGTAGAGAACAAATTTATTGTTTGTTACATTGTGAGATTGTAAAGTTTTCGGTGAGATAGAAAACCGAGTGTGAGGAGTGAATGTTGATCGGTGAGCGTTGAAAACTGATATTGTGAGTGTGAGTGTTACATTGATCGGTGAGCGTTGAAAACCAACATTGTGAGGTGTAAACGTTATTCGGGTGAACGTAGAAAACCCGGTTGTGATAGTGGATTTCTTCCCGGGAGGAGGGAGCGGAGACGTAGGACGGAAGGTCCGAACTCCGTGATCATTTGAGTGTGTTTGAGTTTGTCATTATCACATTTGCTTATGCATTTATCTTATATCGACATTTCCTATTACTCTTGTATATTTTGCCCTATCACTTTTATAGTTTGATTATATCACCCTTGTGTTAGTTTATTTACTCTTGTATATTTTGCCCTATCACTTTTATAGTTTGATTATATCACCCTTGTGTTAGTTTATATATCCTTGCATTCGATGACTTTGTTCAAGATCTTCTCTCACACGAAATGGCAATCCACCTCAATGTGTTTAGTCCTTTCGTGAAAAACTAGATTCGTCACAATGTGTATTGCAGCTTGATTGTCACAGAATAGTGTAGTAGGACTATTATCCGAATTGTGCCCCAACTCTTTAAGCAATAACCTTAACCAGATGATCTCGCTTGTTGCGCCTGCCATAGCCCTATATTCAGCCTCTATACTATACCTAGCCACTACTGCTTGTTACTTTTCCAAGTAACTGCATTTCCTCTTACAAACTTGTAGAAGCCTGTAGTGGACTTTCTGTCAAGCAGACTTCCGGCCCAGTCAGCATTAGTATAACCCACTATATTAACATGACCATGTTTTCTCATTAAAATGCCTCTTCCTGGCGCAGATTTTAAATACCTTAATATTTGATTAATGAGTTCCAAGTGACCCTTCATGGGTTTTTGCATAAACTGACTCACGTAGCTTACTGCATACGCTATGTCAGGTCTGGTAATAGTAAGATATATTAATTTTCCCACAAGTCTTTGAAACATGCCAATATCTTCATGGGGTTCATGATCAATGGTATTTTTTGACTAAAGTCCATGGGAATATGGGCTGGTTTGGTAACTAACTTACCTGTTTCTCTAAGTAGGTCCAAAGCATATTTTCTTTGAGAAAGAAACAAACCTTTGTGAGAGTGAGCAATTTCAATACCCAGAAAGTATTTTAGATTACCTAAGCCCTTAACATCGAATTCAAGACTCAGGTGATGTTTCAGGGTTTCTATGCCACTTAGATCACTTCCTGTAATCACCAAATCATCCATATAGATTAAGATAACAATGATACCTTTGTTTGAAGTCTTAGTGAACATTGAAGAATCTGCCTCGCATTTTTTAAAACCGCCTTAACAAGAGCCAAACTCAGCTTACCGTACCAGGCCCTTGGTGACTGCTTCAAGCCGTAAATCGCCTTTTTTAACCCGCAGATCAGACCACTCTCTCTCGGCATAGGTAAACCAGGTGGCAAGTCCATGTAAACTTCTTCTTCGAGATCCCCTTGGAGAAAGGCATTTCTCACGTCCATTTGAAATAGTGGCCAGTCATAATTGGTTGCGACTGACATGAGAGTGCGGACAGTATTCATCTTGGCCACAGGAGAAAAAGTTTCCTTGTAATATACTCCGTAAGTCTAGGTATACCCTTTATCAACTAATCTAGCCTTATACCGTTCTAATGTTCCGTCACTTTTGTACTTGATTTTGTAAATCCAACGGACACCCTACAGTTTGTTTTCCATTAGGTAGTTTGACAAGATCCCAGGTTTGGTTTCGTTTTAACGCATCAAGTTCATCGTTCATGGCATTAACCCAATTATTATCTCGTTTGGCCTCCTCAAAGTTGTTTGGTTCAGAACCCTTTTCAATTTGGGTTAAGAAGGAATAGAACTTTGGTGAAATTTTATCATACCTGACAACTTCTTGTATTGGATATGGTGTGGTGTGGTAAATCACAAAGTCTTAGGACTTGGCAGGTTGTTTTGTTACACGGGTTGATCTTCGCACAAGTGATGTTCCTGCATGCACTTGAACTTCTTCATTTTCGGGCCTGTTAGAATCTGCCATAGGGCTTCCACCTGATTCGGGCCTAGATGGCGTGTTCTCGTCTTCATGCATTGGGTTTGGATCTTCATAGGTTGAATCCGTTCCATTAGCAATGCTAGGCCTATCACGAGTTGCAGAAAAATTGCTGATATCTTCTACCAACAGCTCATTTTGGCTATTTTTAATTTGGCTGGGCCCATATTGGTGATCCACTGGAATTGCAACGATCTGAAAATCTTTATATGCAGTTATCTCCCCCTGATTTTCTGTCGCATAAAACATTTTATTTTCATCAAACCGTACATCTCTAGAGACGAAAGCACGTTTCTGTTTTAGGTCATAACACCTATATCCTTTTTGTGTGGAAGAGTAACCAACAAAGATACATTTTCGTACATGTGGATCTAATTTCCCTGCATTTTGTGAATGTATATAACAAACGCAACCAAATACACACAAGTGAGACAAATTGATTTTCCTAATGTATAGAATTTCCATTGGGCTTCAAAAGTCAAGAATCTGACTAGGAAGTCGATTTATCAAATAACACCCAGTGAGGACGGCATCAGCCCAGTAGGTTTTAGGTAAGTTGGCTGAAAAAAGCAAGGCACGGGTTATTTCAAGTAGGTGTCGATTTTTTCTTTCAGCCACACCATTTTGTTAGGGAGTACCAACGCAGGAAGTTTGATGCATTATACCGTTGCTACGCAGGAAAGTTTGAAAAGCATGATTTAGGTACTTAGTACCGTTATCGGTTCTAAGAGTTTTAACTTTTCTATCAAATTGATTTTCAACCATTTTGCAAAAGAATTGAAATTTCTCACATACCTCCTTTTTGGATTTGATTAAATATAACCAAGTTGCACGGGATTTATCGTCAATAAATGTGACGAAATATTTAAAACCCTTTTTAGATTCCACGGGTGCATTTCCTTACACATCAGAATGAACAAGATCAAACACATCATTAGATGTATTAGAATGCTCAGGAAAATGTAGCTTATGAAGCTTAGCAAATTGACAAGGTTCAAAGTTATTGAAATCATGAATTAAAGAAAAGTTTAAATGTTTCAAGACTTTGTGACTTTGTCAGACGGATGGCCTAATCTCTTGTGCCACAGTTGAGAAGAGGTTGTATTTACTGTAGAGAGTGCTAACTGATCCAGCTCTAATACGTATAATCCATTGACTAGGCTACATTCACCAATCGTCCTCCCTAAACTTTTGTCCTGAAAGACTACTTTCTGAGGAGTAAAAAGAACATTGTAACCCAGTTGATTAGTATATTTACTGATAGATAGCAAATTTGCCTTTAAATCTTGTACCACAGTAACACCTATATCTTTTGAAAAATGCGAGCTGTTCATGTTCCTTTTGTAGGTATTACCAGACCATTTGCTACAGTAACATGTGAGTAACTTGTTCCGGGTTGGAACTTTGTTAACAATTCACTGGAGGTGAACATATTGTTGGTGGCTCCTGAGTCTATAATGATTTTTGGAAAAAAAAATAGAGAGAGTAGAAGCATTACCAGTATGTTGAGCAACATGGGACTCTCCAATTGGATCAGCATGAGCCGATTCATTATCAGTGGTGCACTTCTTCATTAGAAAGTCGATCTGTTTAGTGATATGCTCCAATTTATGTTGAATACCATCATTCTCAGAATTTGCCGCCAGATTTGCCTCATTAGACCGATTGCGTGAAGGTTTGAGTTGAGGATGTAATACATAGCACCTCTCTTTGGAGTGCCCACTTCGATTACAATGGTCACAGAAAAACCAAGCTCCTTTCTTATCCTTTCCCTTGGTCCATTTGTTATTGTCAACAGTTTTAGAGCTAGAAAAATGTGCCTAGTTTTCAGAATTTTGAGAAGGAGCAATTACTCTTTTTCCCATTACTCTCTTGCGAGTCTCTTCACTCTGGATGATGGCGCACACACAGAGTTGAGTGATGGCAATTCTGATCGCATCAGAATCTCTCTTCTTACTTCTTCATAATCGGAGGTGAGACTAGCCAGAAGGTAAAAGATTTGGTCCTGTTGCTCTCGTTTGATGTATTCCACCACTGTTGCAGCGATGGGTCGGTACTGATGAAGCTCTTCACACTTCTGCTTGAAGGCTCCAAAGTGCTCCAGAAAGGACTGATCTTGTTCTTGTTTAAGAGATGAGATACTTTGCTGTATTTCAAAAACTCGAGAAGAATTGTTAGCATTTCCATACATTTCAAAAATAGAATCTCACAATTCTTTAGAATTGTTTGTATAGGCAAAAATACCGTAGAGTTTCGGTTCTATGGAATTTAGGATCTGTGACATAACCCGCAGATCATTCACTTCCCATTCAGCATCTTTTCTCTCTTGCTCTGTCTCTGTTGTTGGCGTTTTACCTACAGTCTTAGTTCTGCCAAGGATGTGCTCGAGCTTAGACCGCCCTCCAAGTGCCAGTTTGATGGCTCGGGCCCAGTTTAGGTAGTTATCACCATTCAACAAAAAATTGACAAGGGATTTATTAGGTTTTTCATGATTTTCGTCAGCCATAGGATCAATTGGTAAAAACGCAAATATAAGGGGTGAATGTGTAAAAATAACTCTGACAGTACCAGAGAAGGTTAACGGGTTGGGTACAATGAGAAATTTCTGCTCGTTTGCAGTATGAAGAAAGAAACCTGATATATCGTCAGGAGGAAGGACAAAGCAACTTCGTCAAGCAGTGAAACGAAGGCAGCAAGAACGAAATAGATGGAGTATCTAGATCACCTTCGGCATAGCCATCAGCAATCAGTACAACCAATCAACTTGGCTCTGATACCATGTAGAAAAAAAACAAAAGAGACACAAGACTCCCAGAAAGCTCCCTCCCTCCCAGAGTTTATTAATTATGAATTTCTTTTTGTATATGTTACAAGCTATAGCAATGATATATGTCTCTTTTTATACAAGGAGAAGCAAATACAATTAAGCTAAGTGCTCAAGAAAAGGAAACAAATAAAACTGCTAATCTCCTAAAGATGGAAAACAATCACAGTGAAATTTCGCCAGACAGTATTCCAAAAATACTTCTGCCAGCTTGTATGTTGCGCAACAGATTTCTTGACCCAATTTCTTCATGGATCATTGAGCTTTTTTGGGCCATGAAATATTCTGTTAAAACAACCAAATATTTTAGAAAATGACTATTCTATCCTCACATTGAGATTAATTGACATCCCTCACTCGATAACCCTCCAGAACTGGCCGGCCCGATGTCGACGTGATTGATCTGTGGTGAGCCCATTCGATCTGCTGCTATGATTAATTTTCCTATGATGAGCGCGGAGAAAGTGAGTAAACATGAAGTTACAGAATTGACAGCGCGTGGTTATTCAATTTTGATAGGTTTTGGACGAGAGAATAGATGGTGGATCTACATGAAACAGAAGAGAAGATAGGAGAAGGGCATAAACGAAGGAAAATGAAGGAGATACCTCTCAGTATCAACTCATACAGGGGTATAAGGATATAATTTAAAGGCAAATACTGTTAAAATTCTAGCACCATTTGAGGCGGGGTTAAACTTGACTGAAGAAAGCAATTTAAGTGGCAAAATTAAAATTACAATTATTTCAATGGTAAATTTAAAAATAGCTATAAGTTGGGGGTATATATCAAAAAGTCGACCTTTTTTTCACTGCAAGCTATTTTATCGTTTAAATGACCGATAACAACATTAATTAAACCCAGAAAACCTGATTTTTTAACACCAAGATGGCATACACTACACTAATAAGAGGAAGCCATGTGATACAAATCATTTATGGAGAGGAGAAATTTTCCTAAACGATTTTTTTTTTTTTTTTGGCATACTGTACACCACAAAGCCTATTCTTATGGGGTTTGATGTATGCCACTTGGTCCTTATGGAGATCCTAAGAATATCTTGTCCTTAAAAGAGAGAAAATATTGATTAATTAGAGAACAAGTAATTAGCAAATGTTCAAGCTTAATCTAATATTCTAATAAAAAAAAGATATAATTAGCGTGACTACTTAATTAGTTTGACGGGATTGATTTGACCCGCTAATTGAACTTCAAATTGCAAATGTGCCCCCATTGTCTCTACACGTTCTCTTTCAATTAATCATGATTAGCACTAAATTCAATAATGGGCTTGATTTGAGTTATTGTAGCTCTAGAAAGAGACATGACAACTGCAAAGTCGACTCAAGTTATAATGCAAGTTAGTAGAGCATATGTTCAGTTTCTTACTTAATTAATTTACTAATTAATTAAAGAGTCACTAATCACATCTACGGAGGATAATAGTTGACTAGATCTAAGACTAACCATTGGCTGTCTGAGCTCAACAACAGATAAAGATAAAAAATTAAAAAAAAAAGAAAAAGACAAAAAAAGTGCCTGAAAAGAGTGAATAGAGGAGATGCAAGCTATAAAATAAAAAGGGTTGACTCGACAATGTAATAATTCAGCAAAAGTCAATAGTAGGGTGATCCATAACAATGAAGAATTCCCATATATATAATCACATTATTTTTGATAAATCGC